AGGAAATTAAAGTTATGTTGAAGAAATTGCAGCTATTACTCAAGTAACATCAGATACTTCATTTGACAAATTATCAAAAATAGAGAATATAGTCAAGACCACATTTAAAGAGAATATTGCAAAACCTGTGATGAAAACATTTGGTAGCCAAACATCATTTAATGACTCATTTAAAAGTAATGAGCAAGATTTAAAATTAGACAGGATACATATGCACATGATTGCAATTGCAGGTATCTTGACACTATTAATGTGTTCTTGTTGCAGATAACAGTTGAATTTTATTTATATTATTTGAATGCATTTAATTATGTTACATATGAAATATAGTTTAGGATAAAAAGAACTTTTTATAATCTAAACGTAATGAAATTGCGTTGAATTACCAAATAAGTGACGTACCACATCTGTGATAATGTGATGTGTAATAAATGCCCACCTGAGTTAATTTAAATATTTCATATTTTTTTTACACAATTTATATATTTTTTATATGTAATGTAACCTCAACTATAGGCTTTGATAATATAATGTATTATGATACTTTATATAACACGTTTCAAATTAATAAAAACTGAATAATTTATATATATGCATATATCTTGAGGATTGTTTGTTTGACGTTGAAACATATTGAATTGATTTAAACAGCCAATGTGTTGAAGAGAAAAGTTTATTTTGAATTTTTGTATACGTTTTGAGACTCAATGTGTCTCATCATTCAGCTAAAAGAAATTTACAATTGAATGATATTGTAAATTTCTCTTAGCTGAATGATGAGACACATCTAGTCTCGAAATGTATAAAAAAATTTAAAATAAACTTCTTTTCGACGCATTGGCTGTTTAAATGAATTATATATATATATATATATATATATATATATATATATATATATAGTGTGTGTGTATATGTGTATGCATTATTTAAAATTTATCATTATTCAAATTTATATTTGTTACTCTATCATATACTTTGTGGTTTTTGTTATTTTTAATTACTTGTGCGTTTATTATGCGCTGAAAAAGAGTCAAATGAATGGGTTTGGAAAAGTTTGAAGCATAGCTTAGTTTGCATTAAAGCACATGAGTTTTAGTTACATGAGTATGCAGAATATTCAGGGTTGGGCATATTGCCGAATATACTATTTGTCGCAAGCCTAATAAAAAGTCAAATTGTATTTCTATTCCATTTTTATTATATGAAATATTACATATGATTATTGTCTAAATCTTAATTTAAAAGTATAAAAATAGTGATTACTTTTTGGGGTAATGAAGAGTACATTTTAAGGTTACTAAATGATTATCTGCTAGTGTAAAATATATAAAATACTAGTAAGTACATCAAATATATGTTACAATATTTACTAAATATCTACAGCAATCAAGCAAACTCAGCCATACTTCAAACAACTTTAAATAAATATTCACAAATTTTTGTAGATCTATTCAGTCTAAAGGAATATAAATATTATATTCCGTACAATTTTCAAATAAAAATACATTTTAAAACTACTTTAAAGCAATAGAGAGTTGATATCACTGACATGATTTTAACTAATTATATTGCGTGAACTGACTGACGTAAGACAACAATGATGTCATGTTAAATTGATGGTTACTCTTTCGATGCATACATCATGCTATAACTAAAATAATTTAAACTAAAATTCTATCATGAAACTAAAATTCTATCATAAAACTAACATTCTTAGGAATAATTGCACTAAATACAAGTACTTCTACTAATATTTTGCCTGGAATTAAATTTCGTTTAAGTAGATTAACTTATACAATATGGCAAAGCCAGTATTAGAGTTACTATTAGGGAATAGTGATGAAAAATTCTTCCAATTTGAATTGATGTCACTTACAATTTTTATTAGACTAGTAATTTAATCTAAGCCTGGTGAAAAAATTCAATAACATAAACGATCACATACCAGCACATGTTTAAAAATAATATCAATAAATTATATCTGAGATTAATGTGGCAAGATAACATAAGGATATTGTTAGAAACAAACATTTATACTCTCACAACACGCACTCACAAAAATTAAAGTAAAGTTAAAAGTAAAGTCAAATTGTACAGCTTATCACTTTAGTTATAATAATCTTAAGAGCTTCTATAATTAACATTATAAGAATGAGATTTTGTAAGTTCGGTCATAATAACTCAATGTCATAGTACTTTTTCCAATTTTATTTGGAACTTTAGTCTTAGATAATATATTTCGATAATTATAAAATAAAGGTTTATAAAGATGCATTTTACAGTAGACTTACATATGATCTAGATATCATATAGCATATAGTAACTTCTTGGTATAAAATTTTGAATATTTTTGTGACATTTTTCTAATCAATGTAAGATGCAAGTGAGAGACTTGAATTTAGCGATTCGAGATATTCAATTTGATTACTAAACTAATAGGCTGAGTATTCAATATTTTTTTTTTAGATAATGATCATATCCAGGATATTGGTAAAAGTTGAAAGCTTAATAAATTCAATTTAGTGGAACCTGGGTTATGTCTATGTTTCTGTTACCAATATGCTAAGTTTTTGCAATCTTGGTTTGCAGGTACAAGATTATGAGCATTTTGTAAATATTTTATTGAACTTTGTGGCTTACTATACAATTTTGTTTGATCTGGTACCACAATGAAGTATACTCTGTATTGTATAGCACGGATGTTGCAAATATATTGGTAAGGGGTGACAGGTTGAAGTCTGAACTCTACTAACATGTTAATAATTTCTAATTAATATAAGGCATTTTTACATTCATAGAACGAATAGGAGGACATCGGCCACTAGCTGCCACTCCGTTGGCTTCATCCATGTTGTATAGAAGCAAAAAAACGTAAAATGTTTCAGGAAACGATCGTCTTCTGTATTGTGATTAATATTAGGCTTCTGAGTTAAGGCTATTTTGGTATTAAACATCAAAAGTTATATCGGCTTATAGTGGAGTACAAAGGATTACTAAAGATTTATTTGCTTTATGCGTGAGACCTATTAATATTCTTCTGTTTGCCAATTTTATAGTTGTTTGTAATTTAAATGAATAATTGGATAATTTTTGGTAAGTCTGATACAAATTTACTAAATTTAGTTTAGTTCAGTAATCAGTTTTTGGTTCTGGTACTGTAATTTCTTAATTTAAGGGTATTGAAATATCTAAAATAATAAGGCATCTCGATCTTAAACCATTCCATGGTTAATTTTAGCGCTGTATTCATCACCATTCTCATCATTATCTGAGTTTGAAGCAGATGGTACTTTGTGGTAATCATAAGGATCATCGCTATTGGACTCTGACAAATCATCGTTATTGCATTCGTTATCAAGATCACTCAAGTTTTCACTAACATCACCATATTTTAGCATACCATGTCCCATTTCATTTCCTTCGTTACATAAGAAAGCTTTATTTTCGCTGAATTTTCTAGTAGGTTTGTTATATATTTGCATCTCCTTCATGTCCTCTGTTGGTGTTTTGGTGTAATTTTTCTCATTTTCTGCCGAAAAGAATGGAATGGCTTTTTCTAACGATTTATTCAAAATATCTCCCAAACTCTTATTTAACCAGTTTTCTCCTTGTTTTTTTGTATTTTGCAACTTATCAATATCAATTAAGCTTTGTGCTTCGGTTTTAAAGTTTTCTTCGCATGGACTATAAATAGAACCAGACGTTTTTCCTAAATACTTTTCACTGATCGGATCCATCGACTTGTGGCCCTGATGTTTAAATCCTTGAATGTGTTTTCCAGTTGATTTACCGTTGTCATCTTTCAACCAGCTCTTAGAATTAGGGACATTGTATTGTTTGAAATTATCAGATATTGAACGACCTTTGTAAGAAACTGTCATCAGAACCTTTACTATAGATGTTATGAGCATTATTGACCCGAGAATAAAGCCTCCGTATAAGATTACTTGTTCCGCAACAGGCATTATGTTGAGATAGAAGATGAATTTATTATTTATGCTGCTAGGAAGTTCAGGCATTCCCTGGAATCATAATAGATTGATATGATTTTCATAAATATATTCAGATATTGAAATAGATATATCATATGATCTCAGTATTACTTTATCAATGCCAGAAAAGGGATTGTTTTTTGTCGAGCAATTTTTGAGACAATTTTTCAATATATTCTCTGAACTTTTATTAACTTACTTCTTGATGATTATTAAATCTCTTCGAATTCTATTTTGTACATATATTCTTATATCCTAATAAATATGTTAATTTTACATAAACTTACAATTTCAAACCAAAGCATAGGTAGAACCATATTTGAAAATCGCCCAACTTTTGCCATACTTGATAAATCTGTAAACACCATATTAATTTGCAGGCGAACTGCTACTTTCACTGGCATTCCGGTGTTCTGTATTAAAACAACGATATAATTTATTAGAATATACTTTTATTATATCTATAATGTTTACCATAATCATAAAATTTCATTTTGTCATCAATTTCTTATAGACTTTAACAAAATTTGAGTGAATAATTTTAACTTACGGGTTCGATATGAATTTCCGTTTGATGCAAATTGATGTCAGGTTGGGTTCCGTTGACTTGTTCTTTAAGCATTTGATCGCCTTTATAGAAATGTGGATAACTCAATGCTATTGGGAAACCATAATAACAGTCTGTGACATCAATTAAACCATCTGGTAGACAACGGCCTATAACAAATTAATATTCTTATTTTGGAAATGCTGACAAAAACACTTTGTAACAAATATAATATGAGTAAATATATACATAGAAATTATTATTAAAGCAAAATAAACCTTTACCTTTTCTACAGTAGCATTTGTGTTCAGGATTTCTCCATCCATTATCGAAAGCGTCATCTTCGAAAGTGTAAATGTAGCTATCAAGTCCTTTGACGTTTTCGTCCCCGATTTGAACCATGTCTGCTGGCCTGCACATAGACTTTCTAAAAAACTTTTGTTTATCGCCACGTTCTATGAAACTAGCGTATTTGGTTCCGTCTGATGCGCCGTTGACATCGCCGCACTTGCCGTCATTTCCTGGCCAATGCGGCAGGTAACGAGAACCGCGGTAAGTTGCGAGGAGACCAGACATGCGCAGGTCAGTTTCACCAGTATAGACGGTTTCATAATCCCCTTCAAAATCGTACATCTGTAATAAAAATTAAAAATATAAATATGCACCTAAATAATAGTTGTAAAATTGGCGAAAATAAATTTTTTGTCCCTGTTTTATGCGTTTCTTTGGCTCGAATTGCTAAGGAATGTTATCTAAACGTTAATAATAAATGATACATTTTTAAACTTTCTTTATTTCGATAAGTTAAACTGCTAATATTTTCAGGAATATATTTCAACGCCGAACAATATGTACAAAAACATCTCCAGCAATCGAAGCGCTGGACAATTTTTTGGAAATCACGTGGAAAATCCGCTAAGATATTGAAATCTTATGACTTTTCTAGTATAATCCGTAATTAGTAATTTTTGGTATTTAACAGTGTCGGATTAGCGAGGTTCTACTGTATACATACATACATACAAACACACACACACATATATATATATATATATATATATATATATATATTATAATATATTAAATAGTTCCTTTCTTGTAATTCCACATTATAATTTATTTTATTAAATCATATGCATCAATTATACATTTTGTATATATGTATGTATACATTGTGATAACACTAAAAATAATAAAGGAATAAAAAATATAATAAATTATAAAATATAGTTTATATAATCAAGTATAAAAGCTAATTAAAATATTTATTATGATTGAAACTCACTATGTAATTATATTTAAAAATATTCAATTCATTATCAACATGCTCATTAACTGTATTGCACTAATTTAATTATTGAAATATTTCCAACAAACTTCATGAGAAAAGAGAAAAAAAAACCTTATTTAGCAGAAGCAATAGAAAATTGTTTTTGACTCAAAGATTTTTCATGTGACATAACTTAAACAGAACTAAAATTGCACATAAACCTATCTTTCCAAATCATTCAATAAAATGATTATTATTGTTAAAATTGATTCAATAATGATCAATAAATTTTCTAATTCTGTATTTCGAATTGAATTGAATTTCAAATATTACTAAATCTCCCCAACGAACATACTATTTATTGTTTGTGTACAAGGTTTTTATTGTTGGGGCACATATTACGTAGTATGGTAATACTATTACGTTTTAACTCACGCCACAAATCAACAAGAATCCAAACATTGAACACCCAAAATTTTTTGCATTATTATATCAAATCAATAGTTTCAGACGGTACCACTGAACTTTTGTCAAAATTCTTATATTTAAGTAAGCAAGTGTTCAAAAAAAGCAAAAAAATAGAAAAATCAAAAAAGGAAAAAAAATTGGTAAGTTATTCACTATTTTAATTTGTTACAATTTTTGCAATGACAATTGATTGAAAACGAATGACATTTTGCCAACGATATTTCTATATCATCAAGCGTCGAACGCATAATAAGGTTTTATATGGTTTTACGGTAACAATTAAGCTTATGCTGAGAGAATCTTAAACATAACTAGGTGCCATTAATTTGATTCAGAATTGATTTCGGCTAAATCAATCGCCATCAACAATGGCCGTCGTCTTCCTAAAGGGTTATTACGAATGTGGAGGAGCTCCACTTTTGGCATTTTGTAGTTGTATTAATATTATTTATACATTTATACATTGATCAACTTTTTCAAAAAAAAATCTTAGAACGTTGATCTATAATTCTATGTTGCTCACTGAATTTATATATCGACTATTGTCTTTTTCCTCAAGTGGGCGTCTATTAGTCACGCGAGGCTTAAGGGGGCGGGATGTTGACAGAAATCACGAAATTTCACATAAAGTGAGAAAGGGACTAGTAAGATATCGCGTGTATTTATTGTGTATTTCAGTTAAAAAAATAATTTTTTAAATAAAAATATACTATTTTTTGTAGGTACTAAAATACACGTAATGTTTGGTGGGGAAGCGGGGTACTTTTAAATATCAGCACGTATCAACAAGTACGAGGGGGGGGGGGGCTTCAAAAATTCTTGGAAATTAGATTACGGGGATCGGTTTGGACGCTTAACTCTGTGAGCGCTCACGCTTATAAGCAACGAATTTTAGCGTTCGACTTGGCGATAATGCTCAGAATCGATAACTGAAATCCGTTCGTTTTGGAAACTGTGAGCGTCAATAAGCATCAAAATGGCGGCAACTGGCGGTAGGTAATTTGTAATTTTATTACTTTCTGGATCATTCAGCGGGATTATAAAGAATTTAACAATTAATAAATAAATGAAATTTCGTTTGCTTATGCTTAATTCATATTAACATTAAAATTAAAATTTAAAATTATTTAAAATTAATTAATATTAATATTAATATTAAAATAATTGTGTTATACAACTTGGCATTTTTGCGGGATTATAAAGAATTTAACAATTAATGAATAAATGAAATTTGGTTAGCTTATGCTTAATTAATAGTAATATTAAATTTAAAATTATTTAAAATTAATTGAATTTAAAATTAATTAATTTAATAATATTAATACTAAAAAATAAATGTGATATACAACTTGGCATTTTTGCGGGATTATATAGAATTTAACAATTAATAAATAAATGAAATTTGGTCAGCTTATGCTTAATTAATAGTAATATTAAATTGAAATTTAAAATTATTTAAAATTAATTAAATTTAAAATTAATTAATATCAATATTAATATTAAAAAATAATTGTGATTTACAGCTGCCATTTTTGCGGAATTATAAAGAATTTGACAATTAATAAACAAATGAAATGACAGATAGTAAAAACAACTGACGCTCACGCTCACGCTGCCCTACCTCTGTGGCGTGAGCGTATGTGAGCGCAAAATTTGTGCTACGAGCATCCTACGATGGTGCTACGAGCGTACTTATGTGAAACTCACAGCGCCAAGTCGAACGATGAAAGCGCGCTCACGGCGCGCTCACGGCGCGCTCACAGCGCGTAAGCGTCCAAGTCGAATGCACCCTACGTGATCGGTTTACGGACGCCCCCAACCTCATTTGTTTTTGCACAATGCCATACATTTTACATTTAATGAAATGAAAAAAGAATGAATTGCATAATATTGCGAGTTATGTTAGATATTATTTTATTACTTATTTTTCGTTATTTATTCTATGTATCATTTTTAATTGGAATGGCATACTGAACAAGCTATGTTGAATAGATAAAATTTGTATACATCTTTGTATGGTCTTTAAATTTTATTTCACAATTAGATAAATGTAAAAGAGCTTCCCGTGGCCTAGTGGTTAGAGCTATGGAGAAATTTTATTTTAAATAAATGAAAATGACTTTTCGTTGCCTAGTAGTTCGAGCCATCGACTTCGAATCCTAGATACCAGGTTCGACAACCGTCTTGGACAGTCTGATTTCAAGCAGCAGTGACATCGGTTTTCACTTCAAAATACAGATAAAAATATTTTAAAATAACCCTTAGCCGGCATTGCTGATGAGTATGAATACATCAGTAATATAGAAATTGTTATGATAAAAATTCAACACATAGATATAGGTCAACCGTTTGGGGTGCCGTCAATAAAAAGCTATGTAGTTTAAGATGTTAGCAATCAATTTCTTAATTCGCAACATTTAAATCTCAATTTACTCCAATATTTTTTATTATGATCATTATTTTTTTAAAATCAGATTATATTGAATTTTACATTTTTTATTTTTTAATTTATTTTAGAATAGTGGTAAGAACTCACGAGTCCTTTAAGCTGTTGTAACGATTTTTCTTGATTACTTAATTTTTTTTGGAGGCAACCCAATGGTTAGCTATCTCTTTGATGTTTTTAATTATTACAATTTTTTTGTAGTGATGATTTTAACCTGGGTTTACCAATGCCAGGTAAAGGTTATTTTTTCACTTGAAAACAAATTGCTACTTATATAAGGTTGTCAAATATCTCCCTTCCGCCTTTTTGTATTATAAACCAAGAGCAAAAAAGCGGAAGGGAGATATTTGACAACCTAATATTAAAGTGATAAACAATGTCACTACTGCTTGATATCAGGCTGTCTAAAGTGGTATCAAGCCTGGAAACTAGTTGAAAGAACAAAATTCTAACCACAAGGGAAGGTCGTTTGCAGAAAATTAAATAAAAATATATGTTGTAAACGCAATATAAATTCGAAGCATTTTAGTCATAGATATTGATTGTTATAAAATATTTGTAAACTAATGGTGCATGGCATCGTGCCTTAAAGCAAATTGTTTTTAAAACTTTGGAAAAATTAGATTTTTGAGAATTTTTGAAAAAAATTGACTTTTTTGAAAAAAAAATATATATTTTGGAATGGTTTGTATTTTTATTAAAAGCAATTGTGCTTTCCTTCTATCTTCGAAATGGTTGAACCTGCCTTTGCCAAAAACTAATCAGCACATATCCCTGTCAATACGAATCGATTTGATTTATTTAAATCGGTTGATCCGTGTTCACGAAATCGTCGACGAAAAATTGTATACGCACAAACACACACGCTTACACACACGCACTTACACAGACTTACATACTTACACAGCTTTACACACTTACACAGCTTACACGCTTTACACATTTACACACTTACACACTTACACAGCTTACACACATACACATACACATACATTCATTTTTCCTATGCGAAAATGTTTAGAATACTTTGAAACGTAAAAATATATAAAAAAATATTTTTGATTTTTTTGCTATTACTATAAGTTACACTACGGGAAGTTAATTAATGGAAATGGTAATATGTTTTTAATTATCCTTACCCTGTCGATCAACCCAAGTTTATCGAATTTGATCCACCCCGGTAGCAAATTATTTCCTAGAGTAACAAGTGGTGTTTTGTAGCCAAACATAAACTCCCGTGCCGTCATTCGCACAAGTGGCTCGGAACCTGTTTGTCGCACTAGAAGATTCACACCCAATCTTGTAAAGTACGATGCATCTACGTTTGACTGCGTTATACTCTGGAAATTATAAATAGGATTAAATTAATATATATTCAAAACAATCAAATATTTCCATTGAACGATTATGAATTCTTAGAATTGTCTAACATTTACATTATTACATTTTCAAATATAATTTTGTTCTAATTTTAAACACGTGCCGAATTTGATCTAATTAAACAAGTTCTTTTATTCAGGAAATGATTGTTTGAAGGCATTGACGTAGATTTGGTATCATTTTAATTTGAATATAAGAAGCTATAAAAATTGTTACGTTTGTAATGCACCGAGCCGTGTTTATGTTCACCGATTGAGGAAACAATGACAAATAAATTGTTGAATTTTAAATGTTTATCTAAATAAATTAACGATAAAAATTTGTTAATGTTAAATTATTTATAAATAACTTCTGATTCTGAGGTAATTTTATGAATACTATTAACAATCACTTTTCATCATGCTGAATGTAATTTATTTGGTAAATAAATATTTCGCAGTAATAATACATAAACGAGTAAATAGAGAAAACGTTTCACTCTATGAAAATATATCAAATATTTTATGACCAGCATCTTTTCAATCGTGTTAGAAAAGCAAAGATTTTTCTTGTAGTGAAAGTGCTCTTGTAGTGGTGTAGTGGAAGTCAATTTTGGGGCCTTTAACATATAGGGGCCAATTCTTGCATAAAATAGAAATGGTATAGCAATGCTAAGTAACGAATTATCAAAAAGGTACGTAACCTATAAAACCCACAAATAACGTCTCTTTCCTAACACACACGTGAAGTTAAGTTTTATGTGTGAAACGCCTAATCGCAGAGCAAATTTTGAGATTCTATTATTTTAGATCTATGTTGAGATTATGGATTGTATACATATAAATAATATTATATATATATATATATATATAAACAATTTACTTTATATAATATATAAAATTTAATTCAATTATTTATTAAATTTGATGCTCACTATGTAATTATATTTGTTTTGAATTTTGAAAATTATTCAATAGATTATTAAAATTCTTATGGCTATATTGCACTAATATAAAAACCTAAATATTTCCAATAAATTTCATAAATATAATATAGAAAATTGAAATTTGATACAAAGATTAATTGCATAGTGACAGAACTCAATTTATAGAACTGAAATTGCACAAAAATCCAGCTTTCCAAATCGTTCGAGGCTTAAAATAATTATTATTGTTGAAATTGATTCAATAATAAGCATTATTTTTTAATGCTATATTTCGAATTGAATTGAATTTCAAATATTACTAAATCCCCCCAACGAACATACTATTTATTGTTTGTGTACAAGGTTTTTATTGTTGGGGCACATATTACGTAGTATGGTAATACTATTAAGTTTTAACTCACGCCACAAATCAACAAGAATCCAAACATTGAACACCCAAAATTTTTTGCATTATTATATCAAATCAATAGTTTCAGACGGTACCACTCAACTTTTGTCAAAATTCTTATATTTAAGTAAGCAAGTGTTCAAAAAAAGCAAAAAAATAGAAAAATCAAAAAAGGAAAAAAAATTGGTAAGTTATTCACTATTTTAATTTGTTACAATTTTTGCAATGACAATTGATTGAAAACGAATGACATTTTGCCAACGATATTTCTATATCATCAAGCGTAGAACGCATAATAAGGTTTTATATGGTTTTACGGTAACAATTAAGCTTATGCTGAGAGAATCTTAAACATAACTAGGTGCCATTAATTTGATTCAGAATTGATTTCGGCTAAATCAATCGCCATCAACAATGGCCGTCGTCTCCCTAAAAGGTTTTGAATTTGGAGAAGCCCCACTTTTGGCATTTAGTAATTGTATCGATGTCATTTATACATTGATCAACCTATATAAAAAAAATCTTACGACTTAGATCTCAAATTTCATGTTGTTCGCTAATTTTATATATCAAACAGGAGTGCCGCTGCCATTGTTATTATTATATTGTCTAGGGTTGCTGCTATACGAGAATAACGTGCCGCTCAGTTGCACTACTGAACGGACAGACACAACAATATCTTTTAATAGATATATCTTTTCAAATAGATAATTATAAATTTTTTGTAACATTGTCTACTATTTATGAGAATTATGTAAACTGATTTGCAAAGTTGAAATTATTTGTTTGAAGTATATTTGAACTTTAGTCAAAATTAACATTCAAACCTGAATTATTTTCTATACACAAAAAAATTTTTTTTGGAATAATATCATAAGTCTTGTAGCAAATGTTGTCCAGGGACGACATCCGTAGCGAAAGGGTTAAAATAGGCAATTAAGATTAAAATTAAATTTCATTCCGTAATATTTTATTTGAGCTCGCCTAGCCAGCTTTTTTTTAAATTTTCTTAGTGAAGCAGAGATGAGCAAGAAAAATATTAGTTCATGCTGTAAAATTCAATTTTTGGGTAGTAGGTTGTGCTTCTTTTATGATGATTGATAAAATAGAAATGTTATAATTATGCTATGTTACGGGTGTATATTTATATGAGTCGGTTGCAATGATCTATCAGAAAGCTATGTATTTGCTAGGCGATCAAGCGTTTTACACTTCTCTCTCCATTGCACGAATCCGTGCGTCGAATCTGTTCGCAATGTGCGCAGACTAAATTTTTGTAAGCAAAAGCAAACCACGCGCATGTAGCAAACAGGTTCGCCGTGCGCGTTCGTGCAATGGAGCAAGAGTTAAGCTAACCTACAATTATTTCGAATTTTGTCGCTAGAGGCGCTAGTGGTTGTAGCAGAGTGCTAAACTTTTTGTAAAAGGTTTACATACCAGATATTTTTGGTTTATGTACATGCCCATGTATTAGTTTATACCCAGTAATATTTTACTTATATATGTCACGGTAAATGTGCATATTTCGGCGAATGTGTGTTAACTATTTATCATTAACAATTTATCTATTAACTATTAACTATTTAATTAATAACTATTTAACTATTAACTATTACCTATTTAACTATTCTTAATTCACTATTTACTAATAGCTATTCACTATTTGCTATTATCTATTCACTATATACTATTAACTATTCTTTATCACTATTCACTATATACTATTAACTATTCCGTTATCACTATTCACTATATACTATTAACTATTCCGTTATCACTATTCACTATTCACTATTTCACTATTCAAATATTTACTATTAACTATTTACTATTTTACTATTCAGCTATTTACTATTAACTATTCAGTTATCACTATTTACTATTTACTATTAACTATTTACTATTTACTATTGGACTTACTTACTCACCATGGACCTGCCTTTGGGCAGACTACCATTTATTATTATTATTATTATTTACTATTAACTATTCAGTTATCACTATTCACTATTCACTATTTTACTATTCACTATTTTACTATTCAACTGTTTACTATTAACTATTAACTATTCACTATTTAACTATCCACAATTCAACTATTTTTAATTCACTATTTAATAATAACTATTCACCATTAACTATTTACTTTTCACTTAAACTATTAACTATTTACTTATAACTATTTCACTATTCACTATTTACTATTTAACTATTCTAAATTCACCATTTACTAATAATTATTCACTTATTACTATTCACTATTAACTATTCACTATTGAACTACTAACTATATAATTATTCAGTTATCACTTCACTATTTATTATTTAATAATATTAATTATTCACTGTACATTCTATTACTACTTTACTATTCAACTATTTACTATTAACTATTAACTGATTAACATGCGCCCCACTAGTTCTTAACTTATTTTTATTGACAGTCCATAACCGCTGATCCTGCCTTCCCAAATATTTTACCAGTTGTTCGTTTCGTCAATACAAGTAAAATGTTTTTCGATTTATTAAAATCGGACGCTCCGTTCTCTCAAAAACTCGATTTCTATTTTTTGCACTTTTTGCTCCATATCTCCTTAACGGCTGGACCTGCCATTGCCAAAACCTAATCAGCACATCTCCCTATTAATAGGAATCGAATGTTTTTTAAACCATTCAAATCGGTTGATCCGTGCGCCCTTAACGTGGACGAAAAAATGCGGACATACAAAACACACACACACATCCATTTTTCTGAGGTATGCCAAAATGTTCAGAAACCTTCAAAACGTCGAGAAATGCAAAAATTTTCATTTTTGATTTTCGGCCCAATACTATAACTACCCTACGAGAAGTTAAAAGGCCATTTGGCGGTCAAAATTGTTCATTGAACATATGTACATCAAATTATCAGATATTTTATAGAGATTTTAATAATGTGTACACATTTTGTGTATTTTTTTTGGGTTCCGCACCAAGATTTTTAATTTCAAAATTCACGCATATGGTTCAAACAAATGTCCTCGACATTTCCAACAGTATGGAATAACCGATCTTGTGTGATTGAGAAAATATTCGGTTCGTACTCGATCGTGAGGAGTTTTTGCATAATTTTGCCGTTTCGGAAGAATGGAGCGCGAATGGAGGGTGTAAAAATGGTCATGATCATCTCAAACATTTTGCTTGAGTGGACGGTGTGCAAAAAATGCATTTACAGAAAATATGTGAAAATTTTCAAAAAAAATTCCAAATTTTCAGAAAAAAATTCCAAATTTTCAAAAAAAATCAAATTTTCGAATTTTTTCATAATTTTCAAAAAAAGCTCGATTTTGAAAAATTTCAAAAACGTCTAATTTAAAAAAAAACGATTTCTTACAAAAATTCGAGATGATTTCGAATTTTTTTTAAAAAAATTCGAATATTTTCAAAAATTTCCAAATTCTCAAAAAATTTAGAAAAAACGTTTTTTTTTAAATTCCAAAAAATTTCAAACTTCTAAAAAAAATTCAAAATTTTGAAAAAAAAATCTAAATTATCAAAAAATTTCTAAATTATCAGAAAAAGCAAATTAAAAAAATGGACTTTCTTGTAAACGTGCATATAAGTTGTTTATAAAATACGCTCGATGCCCACTTACAATTTTACATTAT